GTCATCTCAATAATCGAGTTTAAAGTAATCGAAAACTGACCTAGAGTGACCGCGGCCCAGTAACGTAGCGAGGGGGGGGGGGGGGGGCGGGACATATGTCCCCGGGCGCCGACCTTAGGGGGCGCCAAAATGGGTTGGAAAAATAAATTGAAAGGTTGAGGGGGGTGCAAATTGAAAGTTTGAGGGGGGGGGGGATGCAAATCGAAAGTTTGAGTGGGGGGGGGGGGTTGCAAATAGGGTTGCCAGATACCTTTTCCGAAAATACTGGACACCTTTCCATCCTTCCCTTCTCAGGTATGCCGCAAAGCAGAAGAAGGGGGGGGGTAACAGAGTATTATTCATATACTTGTCCAGTATTTATATTTATTTTATCCTGGACAGCCTGCTCAAATACTGGACTGTCCAGTTCAAAACTGTACACCTGGCAACCCTAGGTGCAAATCGAAATCTTGAGGGGGGGGGTGCAAATCAAAAAGTTTGTCCCCGGGCGCCGGGAAGGGTTGCTACGCCTCTGCCGCGGCCTTATATAAACTATACATTTTTTTAAAGTGCCTGAATTAGATCAACCACTTGCAGATGCGAAAATAACTTGATATTTGGTGAAGAGAAGAATGCTCAATTTTAAATATTAAAGGGACGCCTCCCCCCCCCCGAAATTTTTTACCGCCCCCCCCCCCCCCGAACGAAATGAATTTATATAATTTATATAGAAAATATATACTTTTAACAGTGTCCGCCCCCCCCCGAAGAAAGTCTACCGCCCCCCCCCCCCCCCGAAAATTTCAAGTGCCCCCCCCCCCCCCCCCCGGAGAAAAAAGTCTGGAAGAAACAGTGGTTGTGGGGCTGTCAGAAACAGAGTTTCTTCCAGGCATATCTTCGGGGGTGGGGGGGGGTCTCCCCCCTACGAAGCAAGTTTACCGCTCCCCCCCCCCCCCCCGAGCGAAATTGAATTTATATAGAAATATATACTTTTAATAGTGTCCGCCCCACTGGAAATTTTAGTCCACCCCCCCCCCTCCCTGAAATTTCAAGTGACCCCCCCCCCACCCTCCCCGGAGAAAAACGTCTGGAAGAAACACTGGTCTTAAAAAAGTGAAATGGGGTTATAAATAAATAAATAAATAAATATATAAATATATATATATATATATATATATATATATATATATATATATATATATATATATATATATATATATATATGTGTGTATAATCGTGTGTGTTTAAGTGTGTGTGTATAAGCGTGTTTGTAAGCGTGTGTGTGTGTGTGTTAGCGTGTGTGTGACAGTCCGGACAAGGTTTAATAATTACAGTGTATGATTTTCGTTCCTTAAAACTTTACGTAAAATTGAATTCCCATTAAGATGCGTTTATCTTTTTACAAAAGATTAGAAATGTCAGAAACAAATATGCCTGATCTGAGTTAAAGGGTGGTTTGTAGCAAACGTTAATTTGTTTAGACCAGCCTTTTATGTTCTATTTTTGGTACGATCTCTTTTGTGATATGGTACATGGTTGGTTTATAAGTGTGTTAGAATAAGGACAAACAAGTGACATACAAGAGCAACTTTTCAGAAACATGTATTGTTCGCATTGGAATACGACATGGGTATTTCGTTGACTGGTTGATGGTATAACGAAAAAAGCTAAAGGAAACAACCTGGAATCCAACGGATGTTAACAGCTCGAAGTCTTGGATTTCGCAGAAGTGTGCTGCCTGCACACAGTCCACAACAAATGCAGAACGAATTTTACCGATTGAAGAAGCAGTAATAACCAGTTTAATGATAGTGGCACCCCCCATGACGTTCTAATTATAATCAGCAGCAATAAAACGCGTTTTAACACTCAAAGACAATGTGATAAGATAGTCAAAAACATTCATTCATGATCTAGAACTTAATGTGAAGTATCTTTTACTGTATGGCTCGCAGCTAGATTACAGACAGTGGAGAATGAAATAAGAACATGGAGAAAGTGATAGTTAATGGCACAATATCAGAAAGACAGTAAATAACATCACTAAGCAGGTGCTGATGTAAAGTCCACGAGAAAGAGGAAGAGAAGGTGACAAAAAATGTCTGAAAAAATCGTTTGAACTAGAGAATGGGGAGGTTCGATTATTAGGGTTCTATCTTTATAAAAATTAAGTGAGTTGACGAAGTGTTGCCTACGTCCTACGCCTATGCTCCTTAGGAAATCAAAACAAAAAAAAGAAAGAAAATCAAACGAACTTAGAGCAGTGGTTCTTAACTTGGGTTCGATCTATCAAATCCAAGTGTTCGGTATGTAAGTCTCAGAGCTTTGGCGGATGTCAAGACACACACCCGACTCATATGATTCACGATATGATTTTGTCAATGTGGACGATAAAACTATTAAGAAGAATTCAGCGAAGGCGCATATGAAACTGGTGGGGTTCGGTACCTCAAAAAGGTTAAGAACCACAGCTTTAGAGTGTAGTTTGTATAAGATGCAAGCTTATTTGGTCTACTTTTGGATAATAGTGTATTATAGTTTTAAATTATCAGTTAGGTTGAACAAAGTGACAAAGCATCACCTGTTGTCGTGTTGCTTACATGGTTTAGTAGGTGTAGTGGCCTTAACTATATGAAAATTGCAGTATTAGGACTTGTAATGAAACAAGCAATAAAAATGATCTATTCTGTACAATATAGACTACTTATGTTTTTAGCTCTTAAAATTTAGGCAAGAATATCGTCTTCCGCCCACCCGCTCCGAAAGTATGCTATGTTACTGATCGGATAGCGATTCAAGAATCCGTGATATTGATTTCTCTTTAATACAGTGATCCAGGCAAGATGTAATGCAATCAAGTAAAAGTATCTGATCTCTAACGTCGCGTCATTACTTAATAACACTGGCTAGTGAAATTGTACATGACGCGTTAATACAATTGGTTTCTTTTCTAAGTGTGAAAAGAGTTATCTATTTACCAATCCAGTACAATTACTTTGCGATTTTTGTTCGCGAAAAAAGCGCCCCCCCCCCATGCACATCTCCCAACCATATTGGACACAGTTTGTAGAGCGGGTTTTAATGTAACCAACTTTCTAACTTTAAAAAAAATTACACAATCGTACAATGCACTTTAGCACAGTTAGTTTCTTAAAGAAGTGCTAAAGGTTGTTTACTCAAAATCCAGTGTAATTTTGCAATTTTAGCAAGCCTAAAAGCGCCCCCCCCCTGCAACATCTTGATAAGGGGTCATCCATAAATGACGTCACACTCGTAGGGGGGAGGGGGGGTCCGTAATTTTGTGACGATGTGTGATGAGGGGGAGGGGGGGGGGTCAGATGTTGCGACGTCACATTTTTGCATTATAAAAAAGCAATGTTAGAAAACGAATTTTAGACGTTATTTCGCGTTTTAGATAACTGTTTTAATAAATTGTAATAGTTTAGACAAGATTTTGAAAAATTATCAATGTTTAAAAAAAATTCAACTGCAATTTTGAGGGGTGTTGTAGGTTGAGGTGTGACGTCATTTTAGGGGGGGGGGGGAGTCTGGCTTTTTGTGACGAAGTGTGACGGAGGGGAGGGGGGAGGTAAAAATCGTCAAAAAAAGCGTGACGTCATTTATGGATGACCCCTAAGTCACTAACGTATTTTGCGGCTAAACAATCGTACAATACGTTTTAATACAATTTGTTGTTTTGATAAGTGGTAACGCTGATTGATCCACCAATCTAGTGTAAATTCTTCCGATTTTAGTCTCGAAAAAGCGCCCCCCCCCCCCCCCCCCCCCCGCCAACACACAATCTAGGAAAAGCTGGAAAGCGGTTTTGCCGGTCACTGCTTCTTAAGATTATATGTTTTACAGTTAATAATCAAGGTAGAAAACAGTTAAATCAGTATGTAAAGGCTTTTAACCATTACATTTCTTAACTTAAACTGTTTATAATTCAAAACTGCAGCATAAAACTAGCTTTAAAATTTTTTGTCCACCCCTTTTGGCGCCCCCTTAGGATCGGCGCCCGGGGCGGCCGGTTCCCCCCCCCCCCCCCCGCCTCCCCTAGCTACGCCTCTGGGGGGGCGGACCCTCCAAGTCCCCTGAAGAGACGCCTGGAAGAAACACTGCAACAAGTAATCCACGTAGATCGAGATACTGAATGTTCCATTTGTACATGGCCCGCCTATAATTTCTCTTATTCGCCGAGAAAAAAATTGACATAACCATTTCACGTGCTTGGTACATGTCGTTCAAGCTACTAAAAAAATGTGTTTTTTGAATTGACTTGCCTGACAGATTTGTAAACAGTTCAGGACGATTGTAGTTCATAGCCTGATCATAGCCATGAGAGAGAGACAACTCGCGTTTTCCCACACAAAGTTAGTCATCAAGTTATCTCGATGTAGCTTCGTTATGTAACTCGCAAATCTGAGATAAATCTTCTCAAATATCTTTCATCGGCTTCTACAGTTCATCACAATGTCCGTGGTATCCGTATAACAACCGGCTCATTGAGAACAAGCGACCTAAAATGCGAAATTGTCGTGAAGCTAATCCTGCTAATTCATGGCTACGTCTACTTCTACATCTACGTCTGCGTCTACATCTGCGACTTTTTTCTTTGTCTATGTATCTGCCTATGCCACTGCCAGTGCCTGTCTCACAGTCACTGCATGTGTCAGTGCCAGTGTTTGTGTCAGTGTCAGTTCCTGTGTCAGTGTCTGTGTCAGTGTCTGTGTTACTGCCTGCGTCAGTGTCAGTGCCTGTGTCAGTGTCATTGCTGTTGATTATGCTTATGATTACGCCTCTGCCTCCATATAAGTCGGAAAAATGCCCCCCCCCCCTCCTCCCCTTTACAAAATCCTGACTCCGCCACTATAAACTGGTGTCAACACCGGTGCAGGGGTTAAGTTCAACAACCACTGGATTGTTTGAAATGACTGACACAATAGAATGTGTGTGGGCTGGTAAAACACAAACAATTTACAGCTCGCCCTACATGGTATATAAGATGTGTCCATGGCAAAGTGAACATTTCCCACTCGGATAACTTCAAAGTCTACCTGATTACACTCAAGGCGACACCTGTGTTAGCACTACCCGTTTAAACTTAAGTCTGCATCTGTGTAATTACTTCGAGGTCTAAGTGAATCTACAGCCTACACAAATGTAAGTACTACATGTTTTAGTTTGAGTAACAGCTTACAATTACAAAACTCGCAAGCAACACAGCTCTCACAACCTCACATCAACACACATTCACTCGTTACACACCAAACACACTTCTCTGCATAGTCTCACCCTATCCCAACACACACATAAACAGCCCAACACACACATGGAGTAGACCAAACACCACAACACCTCACCCCCTTTCGGCAGAACGAAACCTCACACATGAAACCCCACACTACATCCCCCACATCCCAACATGAAACCCCACCTTACATCCCCCACATCCCAACATGAAACCCCACACTACATCCCCCACATCCCAACATGAAACCCCACACTACATCCCCCACACCCCAACATGAAACCCCACACTACATCCCCCACACCCCAACATGAAACCCCACACCACATTGCCCCACACCTCAACAAGAAACCCCACACCACATTGCCCCACACCTCAACATGGAATCCCACACTACATCCCCCACACCCCAACATGAAACCCCACAGTACATTGCCCCACACCTCAACATAAAACCCCACACTACATTGCCCCACACCCCAACGTGAAACCCTACACTACATCCCCCACACCCCAACATGAAACCCCACACTACATCCCCCACACCCCAACATGAAACCCCACACTACATCCCCCACACCCCAACATGAAACCCCACACTACACCTCCCAACATGAAACCCCACACCACATTGCCCCACACCCCAACATGAAACCCCACACTACACCTCCCAACATGAAACCCCACACCACATTGCCCCACACCTCAACATGAAACCCCACACTAGGGTGTCCCACAAAGCCCCACACACCGACCCACACTAATCCACACCCCCCCCCTGCAACCAGCATGATACCCATTAATCCCATAATATACTCACAACTCATCCACAATAAACACCATTGTAACAGTGATGATATTGCATATTTTTACTAATCACTTAGAAGCATGATATTTGAGTCCTAGGTAATATCATTACATTAAACTGCACTGTGAAAATATGTAAATTAAACTCAACGCATCGTGATAGGAAAGTTATAATTAATACCGTATTTAACCCATTTTGTTAGATCAATATTATGATACTGTAGGTTATTACTCATTCACACTTCTAACGTTTACTGTTATCATTTTTTTTTGTGTGCCTCGGACACGTAATTTACAGCGTCAGTTGTGTGTTCGCTTTAGTATTACAGTTTTCATCACCGGCTTGTGAGGACTGATACATATTTACAATAGTAATATTTTTTTCTTACTTGTAGCCCACTTTCATTAATTTAAGATGGTTTACTTTTTACTGTTATCATTACCCCAACATCATAAGCGATTAAAAATAAACTAATCTTTTTATTTAAAGTCATTATCCAAATAAACTATAGCCCTTATGCTAGCGAGAAAATTGTCTTGAGTTTTTAAAACATACGTATGAATCTATTGAATAAAACTTATAATTACAACAAAACATAGTCTTAACCTTTCATCTATTTTAGTTATTTAACTTAACAATAATAAATGCGGCAAGAAAAGTAAAAAATGAAGCTAAATAAACGTAAATAGCTACAGTTAACTCAAGAGTTGCTACCTGCTAAGTTATTTCCCCTAACTTAATTAGCAATTAGTTTTTTAGTGTATTAATTTATTTATAAACTTAAATCTAATTTAAATAGCAGCAAAAAATCGGCATGACTTTAAAAATATAATTGCTAATAACAACTCTGTACAGAATAATCCGAAAGGAAAAACATAATCTTACCTTCCATATTAATTGATCTTTCCGGTATATAAATAAAAAATCCAGGATAAAGCCAGTCGATGTCAGAAAAGCCACGTAGATCGTATGGCTTGAGGTGTGAGGCCCTACCAATGGATATTGGTTCAGCCTACAACTTATTTAATGTCTTTACTTTATAAAATTGTGAGTGTTGATCAATCTTCGTCAAAATTTATTTAAGTTTTGTGACAAGTCTTATATTTTTCTAGTGAACTGAAAAGTTAACTTTATATACCAGATCCTGTTCTCTTCATGACCACAAACTCCTTCTATGTACGACTGAAGTGCTTTTTACTATCTTCAGTCATTGTTGTTATCTGTCTTCTAAAAGCAAAGATTCAAAAACCTTCTGATGATACAGAAAAATGTGTGTATAACATTTGTAAAAGCTTTATAAAGTTAGAGTCTACAAGAAGAAAAAAATACGATAATCGGAAATGGGAGGTGGTAAAACTGTAAAATTAAGGTTCAATTAAGATTATAGCTATTGTTTTAATATAAGATCTACTAGGGCGCGTAATTAGTACCATGGGTACTTTTTACCCGACATCGCCTGGTAGCTTTTAGATAACTTTGATTAGAAACTGATTTGTGCTTCACGTTGCAGTAGAGTGATTGTGTGTGTCAGCAGCTTGGTATGTTTAAAACAAGTTATACGTAAACTGTACAGCATAGCACAGTTAGAAAAACCGCCCAACATATCATCAAACAGTGACAAAACACAAAAACTGACTAACGCTACTCTATTAGCATTTTTTACAGCAAGTAGATTTCACCATACATAATAATTTCAGCGTGTTTCCACGATTTTCAATCGCTCAGATTGAGCGAACTGAGGGAGGTACGAATTACCCACCGGTACAGTTTGCTCACCTCGGCTCTATCCTATATGTATATATATATATATATATATATATATATATATATATATATATATATATATATATATATATATATATATATATATATATATATATATATATATATATATATGCCAGCCGAAAATATATTTTGCTCTGGGCTTTTTTTTGTAGGGTCGTCAACAGTGTAGGGAATGTTGGATGCAGCCTTTCTGTTTTTAGGAGCGTTGCATCAACCGGCTATACGCCGCTATACGCATTTAATACATTTAATAAGAGTGTAGAGTTACAACTTGCTGCTGTGCTTGTTCATCAATGTATATTTATTGCATTCCTGTGTGCGATCGGTTATGTCTATCTTAAATATTCTCATTGTGTTCCATTGAAAAAAGACCAAATGTTGCCTTCTTTATATTTCAGCTAAACAACGATGCTAAAAATAACGTTTGTAATCCTTTTTGCTATTATCGTGAATGGTATGTTTTTTGTTTATGCATGTTAAAGTTTGAGTATTTAAACTTCTTTTAAATACTTCTATTTATGTCAGTATATAACGTTACATTTTATTTGTTTCTATGCATGATTCTCATCAACTATATATATATATATATATATATATATATATATATATATATATATATATATATATATATATATATATATATATATATATATATATAAAATACGGAAATTTTTCCTTTCACACTCCCCACTGTAACAATTCCGTGTAAATGCAAGTAATTGTTTTAGAAATGTTTCCCCCTCCACCTTCTCCACTGTAACAGTAACTTACTTCACTATATATATATATATATATATATATATATATATATATATATATATATATATATATATATGTATATATATGTGTATGTATATTGGAAATTACCTCTCTAACGGTAACAATATTAAGATATTAAGATATCAGGAAATGACGTCAAATTTAATATTTAAACCCCTTTCCACCACATCAGGGGTCTCCAAACTACGGCCCGCGAGGTCATTTTATCCGGCCCGCGACGATCTTTTTGTCCACTGAATAAATGTTTGTTGGAGGTGGCTGAGGAGCTTTGCACAGAAAATTCAAAACTTTTTGAAAATGTTGGGTGCAAATACAATTACTCGCCGTGTTGCAGACATTGGTGAAAACATAGTGACTCTAATAGTGAAAAATGCAAGCAAGTTTCTGGATGAAGACATGAACATAACACAATAGCTGGCTTCCCTACAGAGAATGTATGACACTGTTACCGAAGAGGATATCTAACCATAGATAGTTCAGAGAGAAACACAAAATCGCAAGATTTACCATATTTCACATCAGTAAGATTGCTAAGTTTGCGAGAAAATTCTGAACAGAGTATCTAAGTCACAGCCATTATTGTCTGATGAAGAGTGGGTAAAGAAATCGGCCTCTGCTTCAGACATAACTAGTCATTTAAGTTTCTGAACTTAAAACGTCAAGAGAGGGAAATCTAGTTTCTGATCTATAAACCCACATAAAGGCCTTTAGATACAAACTTGTCATGTTTTTGGAACAAGTACAGGCTAACAACTTGACACACTTTCAGCAGTGCAAGGTCTTTACGGCTGAAGCAACCACTGTGTTCCCCACGTCATTTACATACGAGATCATTAAAGACCTCCGGCTGCAGTTTCAGTAGCGTTTTTCTGACTTGGATTCAAAGGCAGAAGAAGTGGGACTGTTTCAAAGCCAATTTGAAGCAAATGTGGCCAGTTGCAAAGATGAACTGCAGCTGGAGGTCATTGAATTGCAAGAAAATGGCTTCCATAGAGACACGTTCAAAGAAGGGCGGATGGGTTTTCATTAGTTTTTGCACAAGGAAGAGTTTCCTAATATTAAAACATTTGCATCAAAGTATCTTTCAAATTTTGGAACAACATGCCTGTGTGAACAAGCATTTTCAAGAATGAAATACGTGAAGAAAAATTTGAGAGCAAACGTGGACCTCGGTGGGGGGGGGGGATATGGACACTTGAAATTTGTATATATTTCTATATATATATTATATTTCGTTGTGGGCGGGGAGCGGTAGACGTTCTTCGGGGGGGGGGGGGCGCACCACGACCCTGAAGAGATGTCTTAAAGAAACTCTGGCCCCGAAGTGCTATTTGATAGTTAATGCGGCCCTCGAGCTGAAAAGTTTGGAGACCCCTGCACCACACGAAACTGCAATTAGGAGTCACTCATATATGACGTCATGTTCTTTTTGACTAATTTACCTCCCTCACCCCTTTACAATATCACACATCTTTACAAAAAAACCAGACTCACCCACCCTAAAACGACTTCACATCTCAGCCTACAACCCCCTTAAAAATCGCAGTATTATGTTTTTTAAAACATCGATTTCTTACTAAAAATAATTACTGAGCTGGCTTAACATTGAATTTAATAATTAATTCCTAATACAGATTACACAGACAACTTTCTATACCGCTAAAATTTAAATTTATATTCTAATATTATTTTTACAAAATTCAACAGTATGAAGTCCCACTCCCTCAACCCCTCACCCCCTTCCCACATCGTCACAAAATTCTGAAACCCCTTGCCACTATTGACGTGTTACGTCATTTATGGAAGATCCCCCCCCCCCCCTTACCTATTTTATACTAATATTTTTGTTACAATTTCGCAAAATACTTTTTTAAAAATGTACTAAACCCTTAAGTTTAAAAACTAGTTTAAAATTTTCTAAACACCCCCCCCCCTCTTGACATACGTCCCAAAATTACGGGTCCCAACCTTCATATGAGAGAGACGTCATGTATGACCTTACACTTTAATAATCTAAGTCTTTCGTATTGGCAACCAGAATAGTTTGCAATGTTTTAAAATAAAAAATTCAGCTTTTAATTGAAATTAAATAATGTAGCAAAGAGAATAAAATGATAATTTTCTTTTGATGCTTTTGTTTTTTTAAAACTGCTAGAACGAGAATACTGCCTCAATCAATTATGTTTATTGAATCATTTATCTTTTCTATACCTAAAATAAGTTACTGAACACTTAATTAGTAAATAACTATTAAGAAAAAAAAAACCTGTATTGCCGACTTATTGCTTCAAGAAACGCTATGTGACTAATAATGTGTAAATTTTGTGTTTTCCTTCCTCTTTTTCAGTTGCTTTCACGGTGGTATTTCCACGTAAGCATTTTATACATTATATATAGTGTGAATAATATTATGTATTTTAACTGTAACTTGCTGGCTGCATTCGTAGTATTTTTATAACGAGTGTTCTATTGCTTTCATTTATTTTAAAGACAATGTTCCTATAATTTAAAAAGTAGACACAAAATTGAGTGCTAAAATAAATAATGGTTCATTTTACTGCATTTATTTAAGTGAATATTATATTATTTTAAATAATTAAAATAGTGCATAAATTATTCAGACATTTAATTCCAGTAGAAGGGCTAATTTCGGGTAGGAATAAAAAAAAATATACTTTATGTTATGTGGGTATGGAACATGTCTAAGTAGCATTTGTAAGCAACTTTTAAACAACCATAAATTTAAAGATGATCAAGCTCCAACTTCTTCACGGAATATTATTTTTTTGTTCCTTCTTTCTTTGTTCGTATAGGATCTCTAATCTAAGTTCTAATGTAACGTTTTTTTTTAAAGAGTGAAGTAATTAAAAAAAAACGTTTTTTTTTTTACTGTATTATAAATAAAAGTAGTAGCATCAAACTATTAAACTAGAGGACTAAATTATTATTATAAGATGTATATATTATAATAATTATATTTAAAATATTATATATAATGTCCAAGCTGCGGACCCAATCTTTTATCGTCGCCATGCCCCCCAAAAAGGCAACTTACAACTCTGTCAAAACTACCGCACCATCAGTCTAATTAGTCATACACGCAAAGTCCAGATCACCAGCAATACCAGCAACATCGTTCCCTCGTCTTCATAGACTTTAAGAAGGCATTCGACAGAGTATGGCATGATGCACTGCGGGATACCATGCACAAATATAACATCAAGGCAAATATCACATTGTTAAAAAATGTACACGAGAGCAACCAGCGCAGTAGTTTTTAAGGATTACATTGCCGCTTAGGAAGATCACGTGTGCTCAGTCAGCATCAGCGGGCGCATTAGTACCAATCAACGATTCGCTGATGACATAGGAGGAATGATCGCAAGTTGATAGAAATAGTAAATAGATTTGAGAGACCATCAACATAGCAACGGAGATCAATGCCGCAAAGACAATGATCCTGACCAAAAAACCTAATGGTATTGCGGCAGACATTCTCGCAAATGGACATAGATTGGAGGAAGTACATTCAGTCCAGTATCGTGGCGTCATACTATCCAATGAAGGAACAAAGCAAGAAATACTTGCAAGAAGTGCACAATCAACAAGAACACTCAATAAACAAAGAAATATTTGGCAAGACAACATTTTTATTTGCACACAAGTCTGTCGGTCACTGGAGGTGTTTGTCCATCTGTATTGTATCGAGGCATGGACTCCACAAGGAGACATCCAGAGAAGAATCCAGGCCCTGAAATGAGATGTCCGCACAGACCCCCGGGGATCTCATACAGAGATCACATTACTGCTCCCTTTGAACGTCTGCCGAGCGCAGACGTATCAAGAAAATTGAGTTATTATGCCAATATTGCAGGGCGCTGTGCCTTGAGGGAGAAGAAAGACAAAGTCATCATTGGTTGGATGACACTAGAGATTGCCATATATATATATATATATATATATATATATATATATATATATATATATATATATATATATATATATATATATATATATATATATATATATATATATATATATATTGTATAAGGATGGATAGATGATGTGTAAATGGAGCGAGGGAGGGACGAATAAACAAACAGGTGACTGACGGATAGACGAACGGATGTTTTGATGGACGGACGGGTAGATAGACGGACGGACGGATGGACGGACGGATGTTTTGATGGACGGACGGGTAGATAGACGGACGGACGGATGGACGGACGGATGTTTTGATGGACGGACGGACAGATGGTTGGACGGATGTTTTGATGGACGGACGGACAGATGGAAGGACGGATGTTTTGATGGACGGACGGACAGATGGTTGGACGGACTGAAGGTTGGATTGACGGACGGACGGATGGCTAGAGAGACTAACAGACTGACGACCAGTCAATTAGTTAGATGCATGGCAGATAATTTTTACTTTCATGTAATTTTTTTTTAGACCCCAGAGGATTTTCATCTAAAGGTAGATACTTATTATTTACTTCAAGTATTCAAATAGGCATACACATCGTATCAATATCCCATAATCAACATCCCATAATCAATATCCCATAATCAATATCCCAAATTGTATTTGACACACCCATTCTCTAAACTGTTAAAGTAATTCTAAAGTAAATATTTTATGTATTCTTTATATACGACCTTCTTTCTGATGCTCCTCTGATAGACAGCAGAGAATTTGATTTTAAAAAGTTTACTTTGCTGCATAGTAAATGAAGATGTAAAAGAGCCAGTGGCGTAGCGAGGTCGGGTGTCATTCGGTGCGGCACCTAATTAGTTGTCACGCCCCCCCAGCCCCCTCCGTAATATATATATATATATATATATATATATATATATATATATATATATATATATATATATATATATATATATATATATATATATATATATGCCATATACAATTGTGTTTTTACGCATGTATATATGTATTCAAATATATTTTGTATGGTTGTATTTAATTTTTTACCCTTACAACTCCATACATGGATTAAAACATAAGTTATTACGATTCTCAACCAAACCGTTTTCCGTAGGCATATTTTGCAACGTTGAGTTAATGTAACTCACCTCCGCCCTCCCCCTCCCGATGATTGCTTTAAACAGTGCTTAGATAATATTAACGATTTTTTAAAATCTATAGTCGGTTATAAATACAGCTGGATGTAGCATGTTTTCTCTATCATTAGTAGGTCTACGTCATGGTGTCACCCCCCCCCCCTTATCCACCCTTGTAAGAATTGGTGAACTTTGCTCTAAAGTCTATTTATCTCACTCTAATTAATCATTTAATAAAATGGAATTATCATTTTTCTGTATATATTTTGCTATTTTTTGCGTTGGTGTCTTCTCCTAAATGGTGTCACCCGGAGCAGTCCGCACTCCTCGAACCCCCCCCCTCGCTACGCCTCAGAAAAGAGTTGACATTTAAATATATATATATATATATATATATATATATATATATATATATATATATAGATGTATATAAAGAACTTTAAAACCTTTAGACTATCTTAACATTAGGAATTCATAATGCTCGTGGACATTTTAAAATGTAACTTAATTATCAATTTTCAAATAATGTAACAAAACTAGTCATAAGATAAATTGATAGATAATGACAAATGTTAATAAAATATATGAATTTTAAAGAATCTTTGCTAAAATTAGCTGAAGTTTTTTGGATGAAATTAGTCAATGCAACTGAAGAGTAAATATATACCCCAAGTAAACTAGAACTATTTGCATTATTTGAATATTAAGTAATTAATTATTACATAGTTATTAAAATTAGAAATCTTAAAAATGTCTCATTTTTATCTTACCTTGGGAACTTAAATTCTAATTCTTTAAGGAACTGGAACTGATTTAGCTAACAAGACACGAAAGTCTGACGATGGTAATGCCACCAGTAAGTATTTTAAACTAAAAAAATGCTTTATACAATCGATATCACTTTCACACTGGTTTTAACTTGACTGTCACGTAATGAATGTTAAAAAAAAAACATGTGATTTGCTATCTTTTAGAAACAAAGCTTTCTTTTTTTTTAAAAATTAGGTTTTACAACTCTGTTAATATATTTTATGTGTATCCTATAAAGGCTTATTTTTATGTTACAAAATAGTTTTAATTTGATCCTTTGTAAATTTGTTATATATATATATATATATATATATATATATATATATATATATATATATATATATATATATATATATATATATATATATAAGTAGACTGTTTTACTAAATTTTAAATTAATCATTGAAACAATTTCCTAATTTTGTAATTTAGCAAAATAGATCCATCGTGTGACAACAAAGCACACAATAATATGCTCGAACTCATTTCGGGCCTTGAAACTTGTTTAGTTGAAATTATTAAATGTAACAGTTGAGTTGATAATTGGTTTAAACATTAAAATTTAAAATAAAATGTACTATTTTTTACAATGAGTATTAATTTCCAATTCTTTAAGGGGAAGGAACTGATTTATTTAACGTGACAGGAAAGCCTGACCAAGGTAACCTCACCAGTAAGTATTTTAAAACTTACAGTTTTATACAAAAATGATATCACTAAAATACTTGTTTAATTACTTTTATCGTTATTATGTGACTTAAAATCTATTAGTTCAGGCTGTATTTGAAAAGTGTATTAGGTTTTAATATTTTATTTGAGTAGCCAATCCAATATTTATGTGACAGAACAGTTTAATTCTGTTAAGAACAAAATTTAGTGTGATGTGCTAGGATTATGGTTTTGTTTACATTTGATTAGTCCTAAAAATAATCTCATCTGAAGGTAGATATTTATTGTTCAATTAATTTAAATACATTTTCCTTGTTATTATTTATACTATACCTTTGGAATAGAAACTGCGTGTTAAGAAAATAAATAAGTTTGTAATCGCCTAATACTGAATTATTTCAATTATGGTAACCCTTTTTGAAAATTAAACCCGTTTATTGTATTGGAAATTTAGCTAGGTATAATGTTGATGATGTATTTTTTAATATAATCTATTTTTAAGAAAAATAGTCAGTACAGATTATGATAAATCTGGTGTTTATGTAATTCAATGCACTATTAATAATAATTATTATTATACACCTATTATTAATGAAAATCAGAACAAATTAAAACATTATACTAGATAATGTGATAGTTATAATTTATATTTCATTACTTAATAATTAGCCTACAGTTTGAGAAACATAAGAAAAAAAATATAGATTTTCGATATATTTGAATGGCACTACATATATTAATGAAATGTTAATTAATTATTCAATTAGTAAATTATTTTACTTTTACACTTAAAATATATCAGATTATTAAGTAACAGAATTTTAAACTTTAATAAAAAATAATTGTTTATATAGTTAAAGAGTCCATTTTATTAACCTCATTTTTAAAGATAACTATTTATAACTGTATACTGTTAAAAGTTTTAAATTGCAATATTGTATGCCAATTCTATAGGAAGAAGTAGCTGATTTATGTTCCTAAATCACTGTCACCAGTAAATCTTCAATAACTTACAATCGTATGATATCAGTAAAATACATGTTTAATTACCTTAAGCTGTTTAGTGAATCTAACCTATACATGAGATACTCCGTCTGTTTCAAAAGTCTAGCTTTAAGAAGTAGATGAGGTTTACAATTTGTTTATATATAATTAAGAGTGACTCATAATTATCATGTTAAAAACCGTTTCATTTCATTTAGAACAAATTTGGTTTTATTGTGTATGCGTGAAGTTGGTTTTTTTTAGTTTTGTTTATTATCTTTTATTTTTAGCCCCCAAAAATATCTCATCTGAAGGTAGATATATCTTATTTAATGTATTTAATCAATTTTTCACTGTTATAATTGTTACATACCAAGAGACGTTAATTATCTAAATTTTAAACTTGTGTTTATAATCCACTTAAATTAAACTGAATTAATTTGTTGTAGCTAAAACCATCCATTGTGCTGGACATTTTATTTGGCTGAATAATTATAATGTAATTGTTTTATATTCTCTTTATTTAAGAATCTGGCTCTGATGTACTGATAGCAGGTAGATAATTTGATACATCTGTTGTTAAAAGAACAAAGTCTGATGAGTATACATGTAGTGTATCATTTATTTCGCTTCCCTAGAACCAGAATATTCTCCATTTTTTGTTTGTTTCGAGATTTATACACTGTTGTGTCTACTAAGGACTCTCACGATTTTTACACAACAATTTAACCTCGCTAAATCCATATTATAGAAATATTAAAGAAAACAAAATTTTAAAGCCAAGCTTTGTTGTGAACATTTTAATAAAGTGGATTTATAACAGTCTGGTTCTAGGGAAGCAATATATATATATATATATATATATATATATTATATATATATATATATATATATATATATATATATATATATATATATATATATACAGAGAGAGAGAGAGTAAGAGAGAGAGAGAGAGACTATTGATAACCCGAAAATCTAGAGTGCAGACCACAGCCCGCACACGAATCTTCAGGACTTCCCTAAGTCCACCCAGCTCTAATAAGTACCTGACTAACGTTAGGGAAAATAAAGGCCACTGGACCTGGTGCTGCCCATGACATCCCATTATATGCGCGGTCAATAAATATGTGAACTCTACTCCATCCGCCTCTTGAAACGGGGGGACTTTAATAACTTTCTTATTTTAAAATCCAGATTACACGAACAGATTTTTAATAAATGTCTGATTTGTTTCTTGTAGGTGCGATCGTTGGGGCTCTGTTTTTCCCTCTCACTGCCGTTGTTCTGATCACTGTCTACGTTTGCAGCGTATTGTAATAAGGTAATAGTTCTCTTGGTGTTTTATTTTTTTTCATTTTTTTTAACAATCATTTATATTCTGGCAATGACAATTTATAAAAAAAAATGTATATTTGTGTATATTGGCATCTTTGCTGCAGTCTGTTTTAGGATAAGTGTGACGCAGCAAGTTCACATGCTAATTTAAACTAGGTGATATAGGTAGGGTACACAATGTGTGTTTCAATAATTAAAATGTAATGACGCGGTCGGTGGTGTAGTGCACGACTGCTAACAGGAAGGGTTCGGGTTCAAGTCCATAGAAAATGTTTGCCCCGTGGCAAAAGCTAAGTTGAAAGCATCCAATCAAGCAGGCCGTTTTCATATATTAACTTAGGCAAAAATAAAAATAAAAACATTGGACATTACAGCTACAATAATAACGGGCCGTGGAACTACTGAAACAACACAAAAACAGCTTACATAGCAGTATTAAATGAAAAAAAAGCACACTCCATAAAATATAAGAAAATACCACCGTATGATGACGCAGATTTCAAGATGTATGGTTTCTCTCTAAGCATTTTAGTCCCAGCTACAAATACAGACAACCTAGCCATTATTAATCATGAATTGAACTTTTTCTTCAGAGCCGAGCTACATCATCACACAGTAGACACAGGAAATAGGTCATCACACAAGGAGTAGGTCATCACACAAGGAACCGAAAACACATAAGCCTTCGCAGTTACGACACCCGAACAACGAAACGCCACACCTAACGTCATCTTCAACGAATAAACAGTCACCCCCCCCCCCCCTCTCTGCCGCCTTCGTCCCACACAACAGCAAAATCAAAGACACGGAATGCCAGTACGTCGATGTATGTTGGAAAATGTAAAGGATGGCATACACACCCAACGTCCACATCTACACAGAGATTAGGCGTGTTGTGCCATTCTGGGTCAACTATGGCAAGCTTTACTCTGCACATCCATCTTCCAACCGTAGTCACTACAGAACCAAGTTTTGCTCTGTGCCACCATTGTTAAAATCCACGTCACTACAGAACCAAGCTTTGCTCTGTGCCACCATTGTTAAAATCCACGTCACTACAGAACCAAGTTTTGCTCTGTGCCACCATTGTTAAAATCTTTAAACCCACGTCACTACCGAACCAAGCTTTGCTCTATGCATCCATCTTCCAACCCTAGTCACTACCGAACCAAGCTTTGCTATGTGCCATCATTGTTAAACCAACGTCACTACAGAACCAAGTTTTGCTCTGTGCCACTATTGTTAAACCAACGTCACTACAGAACCAAGCTTTGCTCTGTGCCACTATTGTTAAACCAACGTCACTACAGAACCAAGCTTTGCTCTGTACATCCATCTTCCAACCAAAGTCACTGCATAACTAAGATTTGTGCCATCATTGTTAAACCCACGTCACTACAGAACCATAAACTTGGATGGCCTTCGAATTGAGATGTTGCCATAGCAAAGATTTAAAAAAAAAAAGGCGGCCCACCTGATATGCATCCATCCGTGCAAGGAGATGCTAATTTGTGAGATGTCGTCGAGCAGACAACGTGAGGTCTGGTTTCCACAGGTCATTCACACAATAATGAACATACAAGGCTTACACACCTGAACACATACACCGATACATACATGGACAGTCAGAGACAACTGTCATCAACGAACACAACACAACCCTGGGACTCAGCACAAAGTTCGACTACTCAACTCTACAAAATTATACAATGACATGACATGAGACATGTTATGGCTTAACGAATATAACAGCAGCACACAGATATGAAATGAACATTTACAAACACATTTTTGTTATTATTTCATTTTTCGTTTTTGTTTTATTTAGATAAATTATTAGTAATAGTATCTCTATATTTTCTATATTTTATATGTATTTATTGCATGTTTTAGTACTAGGCAAGGGGTCGGCACCCTTTTAAAACGGAAGAGCCAAAAGTTACAATTTACTAAATTTCTAAGTTTTTAAAAAGCCACTAACATTATTTTTTTCAATATTTTGATATTTGATAAGGATTTGGTAAATAAATTTGATTTATGATTTGAAATAAATAGCGTTAAATATGAACTGATATTGCTTCATATAAAAACATACAAATTTTAATGTTTCGCACAAAATGTGTTTTAGCTAGCTCTGCTATGATAATATTAGTAATCAAATTATATAACTATATGACTATCACAATACACTTTAGAAGCCAATAATTTGTTTATCTTTCTTTACGGACACCACTGGCTGAGCAGGTGTCTCCCATTAGCCAAGCAGGGCCAGAGGCGTAGCGACCCTTCCCGTCGCCCGGGGACAACTTTCGATTTGCACCCCCCCCCCCCCGCTCAATCTTTCGATTTGCACCCCCCTCAAACTTTCGATTTGCCCCCCCCCCCTCAAACTTTCGATTTGCACCCCCCTCAAGCTTTCGATTTGCACCCCTTCAGACTTTCGATTTGCACCGCCCCCCTCAAGCTTTCGATTTGAACCCCACCCCCCCAAACTTTCGATTTGCACCCCCTTCAGACATTTGATTTGCACCCCCCCCCCTCAAACTTTCGATTTGCACCCCCCCTCAAGCCTTCGATTTGCACCCCCTTCAGACTTTCGATTTGCACCCCCCCTCAAGCTTTCGATCTCCACCCCACCCCCTCCAGCTTTCGATTTGCACCCCCCTTAGACATTTGATTTGCACCCCACCCCTCAAACTTTCGAACTGCATCCCCCCTCAAACTTTCGATTTACACCCCCCACCCCTCAAACTTTCGATTTGCACCCCCCTCAAGCTTTCGATTTGCACCCCTTCAGACTTTCGATTTGCACCGCCCCCCTCAAGCTTTCGATTTGAACCCCACCCCCCCAAACTTTCGATTTGCACCCCCTTCAGACATTTGATTTGCACCCCCCCCCCCTCAAACTTTCGATTTGCACCCCCCCCCCTCAAGCCTTCGATTTGCACCCCCTTCAGACTTTCGATTTGCACCCCCCCCCCTCAAACTTTCGATTTACACCCCCCACCCCTCAAACTTTCGATTTGCACCCCACCCCCTCAAACTTTCGATTTGCACCCCACCCCCTCAAACTTTCGATTTGCACCCCACCCCCTCAAACTTTCGATTTGCACCCCACCCCCTCAAACTTTCGATTTGCACCCCACCCCCTCAGACTTTAAATTTGCACCCCCGCTCAAACTTTCGATTTGCTCTCCCCCTCAGGCTTTCGATTTGTGCCCCCTTTCAAACTTTCAATTTGTTTTTCCAACCCATTTTGGCGCCCCCTAAGGTCGGCGCCAAGGGACATATGTCCCCCCCCCCTCCCCGCTTCGTCTCTGGGCAGGCCTCAACACGGCGAACTCCGACTAACTGGCTTGGGTATCGGTTTGATTGTTGTATTGGTCGCTTCTGTCCTTCGGTTCTCACAAGGCTTATCTTATCTACTCGAACCCGCAGTCCAGTACCTGGCTCAACCGTAGGAAGCTAGTAACTAAAATACTACAGCACTCAGGACTGTCTTTGTATACCTACGGACTGTCTTTGTATACCTACGGACTGTCTTTGTATGCCTAAAGGTAGAGTAATGCACTCTGAATAAAATAACAATCCCCATTTAACGCTATTCGAAAAAGTCGGCACTTTGCCAGTGGCAAGCATGGAATTGTTGCCACGGGTCTGGCTAAAGCACGACTGTGGGGGTGGGCTGTCAGCTGTCCGTGTACTCTCTAACTCACCTAATCCCTCTTTAAGTTAAACACATGTAGTAGCCAATCAGGGCTAATGTTAATAAAAGTGGCTAGAGATAAAAATTTAGAATAAAGTCAGTCTGTTATAGCATAGCTATTATACAAGTCAGTAAGTTGTTGGATAGCAATTAGACAACTTTTGATGTTACTAGTCTTGGTTGTTGAGAAGCCGAATCGGAATAATTAACAAGTTTTTCTATAACTTAAAATTTCATAGTTTAGGACAGTTAGTTCCGTGCCACTTTTAAATGAATTTATTTTAATGCCAACTTAATTATGGCCGGGTGTATTGTGTTGTAAAACTGCATGATTGAAATTATTGTAATTCAGCTTACTAACTGAGCTAAAGACTTTTTTTCAAATTATTTCCCTTTATCTTGTAAACATACTTATCTTTTTCTAGTGGGGCCATCATAATAATTTTGTTAACTTACATCTAATAGAAAGTAGATGTTAAAAAATCCTGAAAAATTCTGATGATTAGCAGTTCTTTTAATATAATTTGACAATCTCTGTTTAAAATATTAGATCAATAGATAGAAGCATTTGGGACTAACATAATGGGTGAATTAGATTTGTTCACATTTGTTTCAATTGATGTATTGTAAATACAAACTTTAAGTCCTCAATTTTTATCGATTGCATTTTTTCTTTCAGCATGCTGTGCTGGGCAATGATAAATAAATGTATTAAACTTATTTTATCATTTCTTCAATTTTTTAAACGCATTGTTTTAATTACTATTTACTTAGCATTAAAATTACAGCAATACACATTTACAAGAAGTTATATTAAAAGTGTGCGTACAACTAAGAGTATTAAATAATATCTTAGTCTGTAGAACAGTAAAATGTAATGTCAGACACGATTGTGTATCCATAGATCTAGAATCTTGATCTATGGATGATGAAATAGATATCTATTTTATCAGCGTCAGTATTTCTTTCAACTTTTTGCTTTTACACTTAATTTTTTTTGGGCGGAGGGACGGGGGACGGGGGACGGGGGGGGGGGGGGCGGACAGTGGTAAAAGTATATATTTTCTATATAAATTCTATTTCGTTCGAGATGGGGGGCACGGTAGACGTTACACGAGGGGGGGGGGGGGTGCTGAAAGAAAACTCTGCTCCGCATATGAATGAGTCAGTAAAATGTTCAACTGGTTTTGTTATATTAATCAAACAGACACAGTTCTCTGAGTAAACTTTGGTACTTTATTGTTATATACAGACAGCTCAGACGACACGTCCTGTCTCTGACCCTACCTTTCGATAACTGCCGCACACGTACACGTCATGATCAGCTACACATCACAGTAAACACGCTGAACACTCAAGGGATGTAATCATGATATACACAATACAAGGGACGTAACAGTCACTAACAAGACTTAGCGTAACATATTTATTTTCACGCGCTGGACTCAATCAAGTCGGATGACCAGGAACTGTACTCAATACCGAGGTCAATGGTTTGACATTCAATGTTTGGGTGGATGGGAGGGTGACACCATGAGGTGCCGCACCGGGTGACAACATGCGGGGGGCCGCACTGGGTGACACCATGAGGTGTCGCACCGGGTGACACCATGAGGTGCCGCACCGGGTGACACCATGAGGTGCCGCACCGGGTGACACCATGAGGTGCTGCACTGGGAGGGGGACACATGACGTGTCGCACCGGGTGACACCATGAAGTGCCGCACTGGGTGACACCATGAGGTGTCGCACCGGGTGACACCATGAGGTGCTGCACTGGGAGGGGGACACATGAGGTGTCGCACCGGGTGACACCATGAAGTGCCGCACTGGGTGACACCATGAGGTGTCGCACCGGGTGACACCATGAAGTGCCGCACTGGGTGACACCATGAGGTGTCGCACCGGGTGACACCATGAGATGCCGCACCGGGTGACACCATGAAGTGCCGCACCGGGTGACACCATGAGGTGTCGCACCGGGTGACACCATGATGTGCTGCACCGGGTGACACCATGAGGTGCCGCACCGGGTGACACCATGAGGTGCCACACTCGGTGACACCATGAGGTGTGTCACTGGGTGACACCCGGCCATAGTGACTCCACTGGTCTTTGTACAGTCAATGTTGGAGTCCAGTGGTGAAAGACAGTGAGGTGAATGCAGATAATAACATCACAGTTTTAGTATCCTCAAACATTCAAGATAATAACTGCTACAATAGACGTATATTGCACCTGAATTCCTAAGGATTCTAACATTGATTTACTTCTACTGCATTGGTATTTATAAAGATGGTAGACGTATATTGCACCTTGAATTTCTGAGGATTCTTACACTACCAGTTTTATTACTATTTCATTGGCAGCAGGGGCGGAACTACAGTGCCGCCAGACCCCGCAATGCGGGGTGGCCCACGCCATTTAGGGGCCCAGAGCCGACCATAATAAATTTTTTTATAGTTAAAAAAAAAGTAAATTTTCTTTCATTTTTGACTTGATAGTTGTTTTGTAAAAAATTACCGTAGCTGCGGTTGGATTATCTTTATTCTATAGACACCACCCCACACTCTTGTATCTTCTTTTTCCCTTTGTTTTTAAACAACTTTGAAAGCCGAGTCTTTCATCTACAATTAAACGTATCAAAGATAAGCAAATGTTCAAACCATGACTTATTTCCCTTTTTAAAAAATAGTCAAATAGGGGTGATCATAAGCACGTTTTAATAGATTTGTACTAAACAAATTAAAAAGCAATTACTTCTCTTAATTATTATTTTTTTAATAAGTAATTACTAAAGAATGATAATTTATAAAAAGGAAATGTATTGAGATGTATTAAATCAATAATATTTAGAAAATTAATAATATAACTACAAAAAAAAAAAAAAAATAAACATAACACGAGACACCATTACTTTTACAAAGCTTTCATGTTTTATATTATTTTGACCGACGAGTTTCTATGAGGGCTTCTATTAAAAATTAATTAACACTGGTTTTTCACAAAACACGCTAATGCACTTACACACATGACATGATGTTGAACATTTTTTTAATTGATGTTTTTTTCAAATTTCGAACAGGACAGCAACGAGTATCCTATGTTCGTATTATGTTATTATATATATATATATATATATATATATATATATATATATATATATATATATATATATATATATATATATATATGGGGGGCCTAAAAATTTTTTTTGCTGGGTGGCCCTTTTTTTCTAGTTCCGCCACTGATTGGTAGTACCAGACTAAGTCTTGTTCCACAGTTTCATCTTTAGGTCAGAAGGGAAAATTGTGCTTTATTATTTGTCTAATTAAAATTGATCTTAAATCTAAAAATAATAGAAGAGATCTTTTATTCAAATCTTGAAGCTTCTTTAACAAGTTTTCTCTGAAAGAAACGAACTGAGTGTTCCACTTCATCAAGTTTATTTGTGCCGTGTGCTTCATACAATATTTCATTCAGCAGTAAATCTGTTTTAGCCTTGATCTCATAGAAAGTTTTCAATGGCGAGTCTAGCTTTTCAAAAGCTGTGTAAAGGTTGTTGAGCTCCTTCATAAGCTCGCACCTTAAAGCTCCCCGGAGATTTGTTTTTGAATTCTCGGCTTCAATGGCTTTCCCTTTCGAATTGTAAGCTTGTCTGAATTTAACGGCAGAATCTTTGACGCTTTTTAAAGTTTGGACACTTAGTTCGTCGTCCTGACAATGCTCTAGAAAATTTTGACTCATTTTATCAAGGTTTTCATTTGGGGTGAGTAGAAGATAAAAGTCCTCATACAACAACTCTAATCGCTTTTTCATGTTTTCCTTTAGTTCATCCAAGCAAAACGTTAAAAGCATAGATTTGCGATTTTCTTCTTGTTTTTGAAAATGTTTGATATAATATTTATTTTTAATACTGAATGTATGTTCAAGGATTTCTTGAGCGCTATTGTATTTCTCCATTTCACTGCCATTATTATTAATCAGGACAATTCTAAAGTTACACTCTTGAAATAACTCAAGCAGTGGACCTCTCTGTCTCTCACACCAATCTTTGAAAGTTGGAAATTTTTTATTATTCTCATCGCTTGAGTAGTTGTCTCCATGCGTCATCACTAGAACACAATTATCCCGAATAAAGTTTGGTCCGAAAATTGTTTTTAAATACAAAATTGTGTGTTGCTCTTCTGCACTGTAGGTATTAATGTAGCTTAACACGAGCAAAATGGCGTCCAAATGTTGGATCGTATTGTCTTTCATGACTTGAAAAGCTTCGCTTATTTTGTCTCTAGCAAACCTTATATTCTCAACATCATCAGCAGCGGTAGAATCAAACAGACCAGGCGTATCAATAATTTTGAGGGTCTGGCCGCCGACTTTGGCACTGAACAAACCGACTCTCCCAGAACTACGCGTCGTGTCTCTATCTCTCTTGAAAACGTCGTCATGCGTGATTGAGTTCAGAGTTGAGCTCTTGCCATGCCCTGTTTTCCCAACACACAAGTAACTTAAAGCTTGCTGACTTTGATTGCTTCCCATTGCTTCTAAAACAGATCTGCGTTACATCAGCTTTACTGAGGAAAAATAAACAAAATGAATATAAAACTTGAATAGAATTTGTGTTGGAAAAGTTGATCTGAAAACATCTACAAGGAGTTAACATATTGGGTGGTGGAAACAATGAAATAATAGTCAACTAAAGTAGAGAAATAAATAAACAAATAATATGGGATTTATTAATTTAAAAGACGAAGAATTTTCTTTCGGTTTTTCTCACGAAATATTTCTACGAGGATTAAATGGTTCTTTAATGTGTACAAAGAAAAAAAAAACAAGATGATTCTTTTATTTCATAACTGATACATAACTGATACGTCAATGTTACAACACTTACTAACACTGACACATCACTGACACATCAATGACACATTACTGACACATCACTGACACGTCACTGGTCTGTATGCTGTAATAGTACATTAAGCATCATATCTCTCTCTCTCTCTCTCTCTCTCTCTCTCTCTCTCTGTATATATATATATTATTGTGATGTATAGCATTTATTTTCTACTTTTTAGTTCAATCAGAAAACGTGGTTTTTTAAAAACTTTTTTAATGATTATTATTTTATTAGTTAAGAAACTTTTTGGTGAAGGTTAGATCCAACTGAAACACCGTCTCATGTCTTAAGCTTTAAAAGAATTCTTTCAGCCCGGTTGGCATTTTGTCTTTAGCCACTCTTTTAAATAGAAAATAATGCAACAATCTTTAGATTAACACATTACACATGAATTAAAAATTTTAACACACTGGCAACAAATGGGTTGAGCGCTCAAAAGAAGATTTTTTAACATACAAATATAAATTGGCGTATTAAAAAATTCCGCAATTCTGTATAACGCGTGCATAAGTTCGATGTGTTTTGATATTGTATATTGAGGTAGTGTTGGCGGGTTGGGGAGGTAGTGTGGTCGGGTTGGAAAGGTAATGTGGTCGGGTTGGGGAGGTAATGTAGTCGGGTTGGGGAGGTAGTTTGGTCGGGTTGGGGAGGTAGTGTGGTCGGGTTGGGGAGGTAGTGTGGTCGGGTTGGGGAGGTAGTGTGGTTGGGTTGGGGAGGTAGTGTGGTCGGGCTGGGGAGGTAATGTAGTCGGGTTGGGGAGGTAGTTTGGTCGGGTTGGGGAGGTAGTGTGGTCGGGTTGGGGAGGTAGTGTGGTCGGGTTGGGGAGGTAGTGTGTTCGGGCTTGGGCGGTAGTGTGGTCGGGTTGGGGAGGTAGTGTGGTCGGGTTGGGGAGGTAGTGTGGTCGGGTTGGGGAGGTAGTGTGGTGGGGCTGGGGCGGTAGTGTGGTCGGGTTGGGGAGGTAGTGTGGTCGGGTTGGGGAGGTAGTGTGGTGGGGCTGGGGAGGTAGTGTTGTAGGGTTGGGGAGGAATTGTGGTTGGGTTGGTGAGGAATTGTGGTAGGTTTTGGAAGGACGGGGGTTAAGGGTTGGGGAGGTAGTGTGGACGGGTTGGGGAGGTAGTGTGGCCCGCCTATAATTTCTCTTATTCTCCGATAAAAAGATTGACATAAACATTTCACGTGCTTGGTACATGTCGTTCAAGCTACTAAAAAAATGTGTTTTTTAAAAAATTAAATTGACTTGCCTGACAGATTTGTAAACAGTTCAGGACGATTGTAGTTCATAGCCTGATCAGCGCGCCACGTACCATGAGAGAGAGACAACTCGCGTTTTCCCACACACAGTTAGTCATCGAGTTATCTCGATGTGGTTTCGTTATGTAACTCGCAAGTCTGAGATAAATCTTCTCAAATATCTTTCATCGGCTTCTACAGTTCATCACAGTGACCGTGGTATCCGTATAACAACCGGCTCATCGAGAATACGCTACCTAAAATGCGAAATTGTCGTGAAGCTAATCCTGCAAATTCATGGCTACGTCTACGTCTACATCTACATCTGTGTCTGCATCTGCGACTTTTTTCTTTGTCTATGTATCTGCCTATGCCACTGCCAGTGCCTGTCTCACTGTCACTGCCTCTGCCTCCATATAAGTCGGAAAAATGCCCCCCCCCCTCCTCCCCATTACAAAATCCTGACTCCGCCACTATAAACTGGTGTCAACACCGGTGCAGGGGTTAAGTTCAACAACCACTGGATTGTTTGAAATGACTGACACAATAGAATGTGTGTGGGCTGGTAAAACACAAACAATTTACAGCTCGCCCTACATGGTATATAAGATGTGTCCATGGCAAAGTGAACATTTCCCACTCGGATAACTTCAAAGTCTACCTGATTACACTCAAGGCGACACCTATATAAGCACTACCCGTTTAAAATTAAGTCTGCATTTGTGGAATTACTTCCAGGTGTAAGTGAATCTACAGCCTACACAAATGTAAGTACTACATGTTTTAGTTTGAGTAACAGCTTACAATTCCAAACTCGCAAGCAACACAGTTCTGACAACCTCACATCAACACACATTCACTCGTTACACACCACTCTATTCGGCAGAACGAAACCCCACACTACATCCCCCACACCCCAACATGAAACCCCACACTACACCCCCAACATGAAACCGCACACTACATCTCCCACACCCCAACATAAAACCCCAAATTACATCCCCCACACCCCAACATGAAACCCCACACTAAGTCGCCCCACACCCCAACATGAAACCCCACACTACATCTCCCACACCCCAACATGAAACCCCAAATTACATCCCCACACACCCCAACATGAAACCCCACACTAAGTCGCCCCACACCCCAACATGAAACCCCACACTAAGTCGCCCCACACCCCAACATGAAACCCCACACTAAGTCGCCCCACACCCCAACATGAAACCCCACACTAAGTCGCCCCACATCCCAACATGAAACCCCACACTACATCCCCCACATCCAAACATGAAACCCCACACTACATCCCCCACATCCCAACATGAAACCCCACACTTCATCCCCAACACCCCAACATGAAACCCCACACTACATCCCCCACATCCCAACATGAAACCCCACACTAGGGTGTCCCACACCCCAACATGAAACCCACACTACATCCCCCACACCCCAACATGAAACCCCACACTACATCCCCCACATCCCAACATGAAACCCCACACTACATCCCCCACACCCCAACATGAAACCCCACACTAGGGTGTCCCACACCCCAATATGAAACCCACACTACATCCCCCACATCCCAACATGAAACCCAACACTAGGGTGTCCCACACCCCAATATGAAACCCACACTACATCCCCCACATCCCAACATGAAACCCCACACTAGGGTGTCCCACACCCCAACATGAAACCCCACACTACATCCCCACACCCCAACATGAAACCCCACACTACATCCCCCACATCCTAACATGAAACCCCACACTTCATCCCCAACACCCCAACATGAAACCCCACACTACATCCCCCACATCCCAACATGAAACCCCACACTAGGGTGTCCCACACCCCAACATGAAACCCACACTACATCCCCCACACCCCAACATGAAACCCCACACTACATCCCCCACATCCCAACATGAAACCCCACACTACATCCCCCACACCCCAACATGAAACCCCACACTAGGGTGTCCCACACCCCAATATGAAACCCACACTACATCCCCCACATCCCAACATGAAACCCCACACTAGGGTGTCCCACACCCCAATATGAAACCCACACTACATCCCCCACATCCCAACATGAAACCCCACACTAGGGTGTCCCACACCCCAACATGAAACCCCACACTACATCCCCACACCCCAACATGAAACCCCACACTACATTCCCCACATCCCAACATGAAACCCCACACTAGGGTGTCCCACACCCCAACATGAAACCCCACACTACATCGCCCACATCCCAACCTGAAACCCCACACTACATTCCCCACACCCCAACCTGAAACCCCACACTACATTCCCCACACCCCAACATGAAACCCCACACTACATCCCCACACCCCAACATGAAACCCCACACTACATCCCCCACATCCCAACATGAAACCCCACACTAGGGTGTCCCACACCCCAACATGAAACCCCACACTACATCCCCACACCCCAACATGAAACCCCACACTACATTCCCCACATCCCAACATGAAACCCCACACTAGGGTGTCCCACACCCCAACATGAAACCCCACACTACATCCCCCACATCCCAACCTGAAACCCCACACTACATCCCCCACATCCCAACCTGAAACCCCACACTACATCCCCCACATCCCAACCTGAAACCCCACACTACATCCCCACACCCCAAGTTGAAACCCCACACAAGGATGCCCTACACCCCAAAATGAAACATGCTAAAGCCCCACACCCCGACCCACACCTCCCCAGCAACCCCACGATCCACTCACAACTCATCCACAATAAACACCAACAGTTATGATATTGCATATTTTTACTATTCACTTAGAAGCATGACAAATGATTTCGACGTAATATCATTACATTAAACAACTCTCTAAAAATATTTAAATTAAACTCAAAGAATCGTGATAGGAAAGTTATAATAAATACCGCGTTTAACCCATTTTGTTAGATCAATATTATGATACTGTAGGTTACTACTCATACACGTTTCTGACGTTTACTGTAATCATAACCCCGACATCATAAGCGATTTAAAAATAAGCTAATCTTATTGTGTTACGTTATTATTCAAATAAGCCATAGCCTTTATGCTAGCAAGAAAATTGTCTTGAATTTTAAAACAAATACGTTTAAATCTAGAATCTATTAGATAAAACTTATAATTACAATAAAACATAGTCTTAGCCTTTTATCTTATTTAATTATTTAACTTAACAATCATAAATGCGACAAGGAAAGTAAAAAATTAAGCTTAATACTCGTAAATAGCTACATTTAACCTGCTAAGTTATTTCCCCTACCACAGGGGTCGGCAACCTGCGGCTCGCGAACCGCATGCGGCTCTTTGGATGTCAAGGTGCGGCTCTCGAGTTCAATGCACTAGTAT